GGCTCTGTTTATAAAATCCTGAAGCACCCTAAACCCTAATCCCAGCGTTGCTCGGAGGCGCTGGTGGCCGCCTACATCTTCATCATCACTGTGGGAGGCCGCTCAGTCTTCAGAGAAGAGACTTATTTTCTTAACGATGTGAATCGGGTTTCGGCTCTTTATAATAGCATATTTACGTAGAAACTGCCATGGAATACCGCTACTAAGTAAGAGTTTTTCCCACCCTTATGTCGGTCACAGCCTTTGCCTGGAACTCTCGTGTGCACTGACTTCACTTGCATGAGTGCACCAGTGGGAGCCTCCCATGTTCTATCACGAAGCCGAAATTGGACGAGTGTTTCGAAATCCCAAGCCCTAGCAGTCGGTTGGCCTGAAAGTCGGCTTTGGTCGGATATCCTCACATAGTTCGCGCAAGAAGGTTTGCAAGGGACCTTAGCTTCTCTGCCTGTCGGGTTCAAGCCCGCAACAGTCGTCGTCCATCATGGATAAGAGCAGCCACATTGGTGGCTCTTCTCCGCCTACGAATCGTATGATTGAATCCGCATTTAGCTGGATCGGGGCGGGGCCAGACGTTGGGATCCTTGGCTGCCGCCTTCCAACAGCGAGACGGCATCAGAACTTCGATGACATCGTTGGTGTATGGCAGGATACATGTCACTGGGGCAGAATTGGAAATGATTCGCAGGTGTTTGCGGGTGGCGCGGAACTAGTTTTCAAAGTCGCTGATCATCGGTCTATTTCTGAAATCCTTATCGAACCTTGGATGCGCTGAACTTTTTCGCTCTCAAACCAGGGCTATACAGGTGCTATAGGTACCATAAGCCAGGCGGCCAGGCGTGCACAGGCTTTTATTGGATTTGTTTGACTTCTTGAAAATGCACGTCGGGCCATGCTTGCCAAAGGGGTCGGGACGTTTCCTTGGCCATCTTTGTCTGTAGTCTGGCCGCGAACCGACCCAGAGCTGTCGCCAGACGAAAAGGATGTGCACGCGTTTCTGGGAGAGCTGGTCGTAAATCTGTTGCAAATAGTGTCCAACTGCTTGTGGACGCAGATGTTCACAGCGTTGATGAGATCAAGAGAGGCATGCAAGAGGCGGCTTCAAGCTGTGAGGCTCTGGACACATTAATCTTTGCAGAACCCAAGAGGATCGAGAACAGGACGTGGCAAAAGCTATTGATGGACGAGCGAGTGATTTTCCGTCCTGTGAAACGTGTGGCTGATGGAAAGCCGGTTGATTCAGCCATCATCGACATGTTGGAAAGCTTCATTGCAAGCGCTGCGTCACGAATTGCACTCTTAACTTCCGATCGAGATTTCGTACCCTTTGTAAGTCGTGCCTGTGCCAACGGAAAGCAAGTGCTTGTACTTGTGACTGAGGCGCGAATCCATGTTGCGGACCTGTACCGGAAAGCACAAGCAGAAGTGCATGTGCTCAAAGCTGACAAGCCACAGGTCACACGGTCCAAGCCATCTTGCTTCCAGGAGGGAAGGGAAAGGTACGAGTCACTTCCCCGATTCCGAGAGTCTATTGCCCAGAAGTGCTCGAGACTGTCAAACGTAAACTAGTTGAACTACGGTTTTGCGAGGAAGACCAACGGAACGATTTCTTGTTGAATCCCATGGCCAAATTCTGGTATGTGAACGGTCGTAAGCCTTTGGTGTTACATCCTGCGGGCCTTGCAGCAAAGGACCTGCATCACGAGCTGATCAACAATGCAGCAAAGGATTGGGTACCGTGTGAGCACCAGCTGTCTTTGATTCTGCCTTTTGTCGGAAAACGACCAAGTCGAGTGCTTCCCAGATTTGCAAATTTGGTTCCAATTTGGGCCGCTCCATATTTCGTGGAGGGGGACCCTGTATTTTCGAAGACTCGTCCCCGTCTACAACCATGCTGATTTTCCAGGCCCTCAAATGAGCAATACGTATAGGTGTGAGGTACCATGAACCATGCATAGTCCCAAATTCCATGCCCCAAAGGCCCAAAAGCATCTGAATATTTGGGGTCCTCAACCCTAAACCCTAAACCCTAAACCCAAATGCACGTGAGGTCTTGCTGGCCAGAGGGGTGCGGGTCTTTCCTTGGCTTGCTTTGCAGGCAGTCTGGCAGTGAA